ACTATTATTTCAAAATTAAGTGAGTAAACATTAAAACACGTGTATGTCTAAGTCCGTGTGTGTGTAATTCGATGTGTCTGTGTGTGTGAGTGAGTGGATATGTGTGTGTGTGTTAGTCGATGTGTGTGCGTGGGTCCATGTGAGTGTGTCAGTCAATTTCTTCGTCTGTAGGTCCATGTGTGTGTGCGAGTCCATGTGTGTGTGTCTGTGAAATTGTTTTAAAATGTGTGTGTGTGCGAGTTGCTGTGTGTTTGTAAGTCGATGCGTGCATGTAAGTCGATGTGTGTGTGTGTGTGTAATTCGATGTGTCGGTGTGTGTGAGTCTATGTGTGTGTGTGTAAGTCTATGTGTGTGTGCGTCGATATATGTGTGTGTGTAAGTCAGTGATGATTATTTGAACCGGTCCTGGGCCTCCCCTAGGTTGACTCAGCCTCAAATGAGAACCTGGTGCAGTGTGTAAACATCGCCACTGGAGATATAAAGGCGGTCAGGCGTGGTGTTGGCCACCCACCCCCTCGTGTACCGTTCCGGCCTTCATAAGTGCTCTCTAACAGCACTTGCCCCTACAGTCTGTTAAGGCTATACGGGGGATCTTTGTCTTTGTGTGTGTGTAAGTCGATGTGTTTATGTGTGTGGGTCGATGTCTATGTGTGCAAGTCGGTGTGTGTGTTTGTCTTTTTCGCCCGGGAAACGCCGTGTACTTCTCGCGTAGTATATAACATAAACTTACATATATATGTACCCCCACCCACTAACATGCTCATTGACCCGCCTCCAGAGCTTACACCGATTTACTTGGCTGCAGCAGCGTTGTTCACTGCAAGTTGGCTTTGCAAAGAGGGGTGGGACAAAATCCCTCCTGAGATGTGTGCAAACCTGGTGGCCAACTACAAGAAACGTCTGACCTCTGTGATTGCCAAAAAGGGTTTTGCCACCAAGTACTAAGTCATGTTTTGCAGAGGGGTCAAATACGTATTTCCCTCATTAAAATGCAAATCAATTTATCACATTTTTGACATGCGTTTTATGGATTTTGTTGTTGTTATTCTGTCTCTCACTGTTCAAATAAACCTACCATTAAAATTATAGACTGATTATTTTTTTGTCTATGGGCGAACGTACAAAATCAGCAGGGGATCAAATACTTTCTTCTCTCACTGTAAGTTCTGATGGTGTTGGTGGTGATGGTGAGGCTGTAAGAACAGTCTTTGAATCATGGGTGCCGACGTGACATCTACTGGATCTAATAGAGGGAAGAATACGGTGAAGTATGGTGAAGTATGACATTGGCCCCGATCACCTATTGACCTTGCTGTACCTCGTATACATGTGCAATAAATTATGTTGACGACACACAGCTTGGTCTCCGTCTCTCTTTTATTCTTTGTTATGCCGCTCACACTCCGCTGGTCCGGACAGTGGGCCGGCTGTTCCTCTTGCGCGCCCCGCGTGCCCTTGCCGTCCGTCGCACTCCTCCCTGCTCCCGCACACCGTTGGCTGACGGTGTGCTTGGAGTCGTCTCCAGCCACGAGGCTGATGGCGCAGAAGACCTCCCATGACCCAACGTGGTCCCACTCCGTGACTACGCCAACTGACCTCGAGCCTCTTCCGGATCCCCCTTATATTCCCCTCCCCACGTCATCCTGTCTCCACCTTCCACCACGCCCTTTCCGAACCTTCCAGATCATGCCCTTCACTTAGCGCCCCCCCCCCCCGGCTTCGTCCTTAGGCTCCGCCCCTGATCTTCCGGGCATCCGATTGGACCGGAGGTGGGCGGCGGACCTTCCCATACGGCCACATTACTGGGCCCCGCCCCCAATACTCCGGGCCGTCTGATTGGCCCAGAGCTGAGCGGCGAAATCTCGCTTACGCTCGCATTACACATGATTCTTTCAGTAAAATAAACTTACATGGTAGGCTGACAGTCTTATTCGGTTAACAATGATAACAAACAAAAAACATCCCATTAAATGAGGGGTTATTATTAATTTGTTTTGAAATTCTAGTTTTGAAAATATCGGGTTGATCACCACGCGACGAAAATTCTCACTGTGATGCGACAGGGCCCTGGTGTGAAAGTGTTGCTCCACTCATGCGCGCCAGAGCTCAGGGGTAGAGAGTTCTCTAAAGTGGTTTTATGATATTCGTTTCAGCAGGCCGTTCACGCTGACGCGGAGGGACGATGCACGGCCTGTGTGACAGATCCCAAAGGATTCGTCCAATGGCAAAAAACGTCGCTCGCACGACCGCCACATAACACTGGGGAATATCAATTTACAAAGCTATAAATGATTAGACAAACCGTGTTTTTAAATAGCAATAATATTCAAAACACCCTCGAGACGCCCAATTAGCGTACACATTACCACATCCCTCGGCCGTGAGGTCTTTATGTGTAAACGAGGTGCGAACAATGGCTATATTTTAAATTATGTGAATCCACAGAGAACATCATCTTGCTAATATGCTCGAGAGAGTACACACACACACAGGCGCGTGCGCGCATACACACACATTGCAACACACCCTGTGTCTGCGTGTGTAAGCGTGTGTCTGTGTATATATGTGATCTTTGTGGGTGTGTGTCTAAGCTGTGGTCTTATTGATCCTTCGCCGAAGTGAACTTCTCAATAAAAATAGGGAAGATGTTGGCGCGTGGTCCTGAGTGAAGCGAGCGGTGAAGTTGCGGCGACTGGCCGTGCGCTCACGGTAGGTGGCTGGGTAAGTATGCACACGCATCAAACATAAAGACAAAGTCCCCCCTCCCCCCCGTATAGGTTTTACCAGACTGTTAGGACAAATGTTCTTCGCGAGTGGCACCGATGACAGCCGGCACGGTACACGAGCAGGTGGGTGGCCAGCACCACGCCCGACCGCCTTTGTCTCCGCAGTGGCGATGTTTTACACATTGTATTAGGCACTAATTTGAGGCCGAGTCGACCTAGGAAAGGCCTAGGACCGGTTCAGATAACCGTTGCTGGTGTTGGCCGTGAGCAGAATTCGAACTCGCCATGACCAGGTTCGTAGCGCAGCGCGCAAACCGCTACCGCTCCCCACATGTACACCCATGCACTCACGTGTGCACACAGATACATGATAAATCGTGGTTAATAATTATATTCATCATAATATCGTGACTAATTGATGTACAATGTTGTAGATAGCTGACACTTGACGGAAATACAGGCGGAGTCTATATGTGTATCACTACAAACACCATGACCAACACGGGACATTCACTCAGCAGTGGATTGACAAATTACTTAGAATTATTACCATTATTTCTTTAATTTAACCTTTAATAGCTATTACCATTATGAGTCGACAATGTTTTTTTTTCATTTGGATGCCCGGTCCCTCGGAATAGGAATGTGCAATTTCCACCACGGACTTCAGGGTGATGAGCATCAATCGCACCTATACGTTCGACGATCCTAGACGTGAAACAGCAAGTTCGGTTACGTTCAGAGATAAACCAATGCAAACGATTCGCTCCCTCCACGGTCCAGTCCCGTCCACATCTCTTCCCTCTCTCTCTCATCTTCTCTCTCTAGCTCCCTTTTGATTCCGATGCCTGTGCATCTACGGCCAATTTTCCAGTCATTTTAGTCGGTCAACCCACAGCACCTGGCTCTATTCCGTGACTTCCTGCACCTAGCCTGGCACAGCAGTCAACCCACAGCACCTGGATCTATTTCGTGAATTCCTGCACCTAGCCTGGCACAGCAGTCAACCCACAGCACCTGGATCTATTTCGTGAATTCCTGCACCTAGCCTGGCACAGCAGTCAACTCGTACCTCCGATTAGCATGGTTGGTTATGTACGGTGCAAAATAAGTTCAACATACATAAATACATATATACAACCCGTAGGACCTGGGTCTGTCCCGTGACCTTCTTGTCAGCAACGAGCCTTCGACACTTCACGTGACCTCAAAGTGCACCAAGCCTGACACAAGCGGCCGTTGTAATGTGCTCTCTGAAGTCTGGCTCGTCACGTCGACAGCAGTGACATTGCGTGGTTCCCCGCGCAGTTGCACCGCCTGCGCACTCGATAGCCAAGCGATTGACTGCTGCGCTTTTTCAAATCGAGTTGTGTTAATTTTTTTCTGGCATTACCAATAACTTAATGACAACTAAAATCCTGCTTAAACCCCGGTTACCGGTTTGTCTCACATACAGACATAATGACATGTTGACCTCTTGAACTTAGAAACGATGTCAGCGTTCTGGACCTGCAATCCAGGGGCCGCCAGTTGAAATAGCGGGCAAGTTTCTTGAACCTCTGCCCCTCCAGCCAATCGGCATAGGTCGTGTATAGTGTGGTAAAGTGTGGGTACGACCAGACATCTGATCAGCGTGGAAGAGGAGACCAATTACACAACCCTACCAGCTCTCATCAACACCCTCTTACACTCCTCACCACACACCTTGATAAAACTCACCACACACACTGCCACTCTTCCCCATCCTCACCACACAGTCTGCTGCTTATCCTTCACCATACCATATCGCTGCGGCGCAGCAGCTAAATGTTGACATTCAGTGGTTGTGCCGTTACAGCTCTCTCCCGTGAGTTGTTGGTGTTGTTACCGCGAGCTGTTATGGCTCGGATGTCCGAGGTTTCAGTTCAGTATCTGGAAAAAAAAGCTACCGGCACGCGCTGCGAAATGTCGGGCATAACGCGAACGGGCACGCGACAACAACCCGAAAAACACACCAGAGAGAGCCATACGGCACAGCCGTTAAGATCTACTCGGTGGTGCCTTTAAAAAAATGCGTTTCTGTTTCTGTGCGGCAGATAATCATCCGCAGGGCGTGTAAAGTCAAATATCCAACCCCTGCAAACTCACTGGACCCTCTACCGAACCTTCCAACGATCCTTCCATCAAACATTACCCCTGAAGAAACCTTTCGCCGGGGTGTGGGGAGACAAGGAAGTGGAGCCAGCGACAAGCGCGGCGACAGAGTCCGGGCGATCGTCGTGTACACACGGAACCATGTCTCTGCATAACGAGAGCTTCCCGTCCGTGTTGTGCGTCGTGACCTTCGCGACCTTCAACTGCACCCCGTCGCCAATGACCCACGTGGAGCGCGCCTTGCTCATGGGCACCTTCACCATAGCCGTGGCCATGACCATCACCGGCAACATGCTCACCATCTCCTCCATCCTCTACTTCAGGCAGCTGCAGACGCGCACCAACGTGCTCGCTCTCTCGCTGGCCCTGGCCGACCTCCTCGTGGGCCTGCTCGTGATGCCCTTCGCGTCCACCCGCACCGCCTACGGCTGCTGGTTCTATGGCAGGACGTTCTGCAAGGTGCACACATGGTTCGACTACACGCTCTGCACCTCGTCGATCCTCAACCTCATGTGCATATCCTTCGAGCGCTACGTGGCCATCTGCGACCCCCTGCGCTACGCGCGGCGAGTCACCGGCGCCACCCTCGCCGCGATGCTCGTGCTGTGCTGGAGCGGAGTCGTGGCGTACGGCCTCACCTACCTCCTCGAGTGGAACATCACGGGCATCGAGGACTCCGTGCAACGGACCACGTGCCCCGACAACTGCCCCGTCTTCATGAACGTGCAGTTCGCGCTGACCAACACGCTGTGCGCCTACGTCACCCCGATGCTGCTCATGCTAGCTGCGTACGCCAAGGTGTACGCGATGGCTCGGGCCCAGGCAAGAAAAATCAGCATCGCGATGCTCCAGACGCGAGCGGCCGACGCGGCGGTGCGCAGCCGGTGGAGCGCCATGAAGAGAGAGCACAGCGCCACCAAGACGCTGGGCATCATCATGGGCGCGTTCGTAATCTTCTGGGTCCCCTTCTTTGTCGTCGCCGCCTCCGAGCCACTGCTCGGCTACGCGTCCGACCCCTTGGTGTGGGAAGTGGCCAACTGGTTCACCTACATCAACTCCACCATGAACCCCATCCTCTTCGCGGCGTTCAATCGCTCGTTCCGCAACGCGTTCTATCTGATCGTGAGCGGCAATATCCTGCGTGGCAGCTACAGAGGGACGGATCTGTTCAGCTTCAATGACCCTGTGAAATGAGTCAAGTCGGGTCGGTCGGGTGGTGCAGAAGGTGGGCCGTGCAGGATTTTACGAAATGGTGCTTGAACAGGAGTTGTCGTGGCCAGAAGGGGTGGTGGTGGTGATGCCGAATTCCGGTGAGTCGACACTAACCGCAGAGCGGCAGCTAAAGGTGGGGACGTCAAGATCAGCGGAGATGGAGCGAAGAGATCTGCTCGCGTGTACGGGCACTTGATTAGTTATTAGATTATTTAGAGCATTTTTCTGCTAGAAATTCCCCCTTTAAAAAGCCAATTCGTTGAGCTGTTATTTGTGGCCAGGTCGCTTCTGAAAACAAGCTAATAGCTCAAGGGACTTCAGCTGGTAAGAAAAAAAAGTGTATAGTTTTATTTGCATGTATTTTAAGTAATTGTTTTACCTTTCCTATACTTTGCACTCCTATCGTGTTTTTTTTTATAGTTTGTTGTAACATTTTTTCCGCCCCTACTGTACATCTGCGAAAAAGAGCTTTGCAGCTCATCGGATTCCTCCAGTGTAAATACATATTCTGAATCTGAGTTGTCGACAAGCAAGGACTTGGTTTAACGCAGTTGTTCACATATCCGACCGGATCACACATCCGCCAATACATCATTCCGCAGCGAGTCGGATCTGTGACGTTGCACGATACGTGTTTTGGTAAGGGCTGTACTTGATGTTCTTTTTCATCGCGGATTAATCGATTCGGTGAGTCTAGTGCTTGTGTGTTAGGGTGGCTGTGTGTTTTGTTTGGTGCGTTAGCAGTGAGTTTTGTAGCGTAACCTATTCCGTTAGCTTACATTCAACACATCTGCAAAGGGTGATACAACCGCATCACAACAGAATGATAGCGCAGGCTGGAGATGTGTACACGAATATATTATGCAAACACTATCAGCGGTTCCTGAAGAACTGCAGTGCGGTCCCTTTTGTTTTAGGTCACCATCAAAATAAATTTGAGCAGAATGTGACACCGACTAACTGACGGCAGCAGGAGCGATGCAGTGATAAACTGGTTTCGTCAGGAATTGGGACTCATCAGCACAGTATAATTACCAATTTTCACAGTGATATTTGAGCCGGTTCTTGCACGGTCCAAGTATGTCAAAGAACCCCTATATAATACACGGCATGGGGAGGTTTTCATCCAACATTGGATTTTGGCGGTGACCTTGTCGAACGGTGGAGCGTTCGCCGCTTGTTTCCACAGATGCTCGGTTCGAATCCAAGCGGCCGTCCCAATGAATACTGCGTTGTGTATTAACCACTATAATACTATGCACCGACTTCTCTACTCCCAGTGGACGCTGAAGATCCCGTGGCGACATTTGCAAGAGAAGGGCCATCATGTGCCGATGTCATGGTCAAACATTTGCGAAAATTGCACAGAAAAATGACTCAAATGGGATCTCACGCAAACAGCAGTAGTCGAATAAATAATCACTGCTTACTGGCAATAGACTGATACCACTCATGTAAATACGACTCATCCTGGTGTCGTTAGCCCTCACACCTGGTCCAGCCAAATCAAGTTGAGAGCCAGAAAGGATTCCCCTGATTTTGTGGCCCTTTTGACGACAATGGGGTGCGGCGGTTTTCTTTCGCGAGATGGTCCTAGAGCGCCCTCTGGTGGCGATTAATGTACGTAATCAGGGAATAAATTATCTCTGCGCAAAGAAGCTTTTGGAATTAAACAAATGATTTAAGGCACATGTGTCAAACGCAAGGCCCGCGGGCCGAATCCGGCCCTTCAGGCCATTGTATGTGGCCCTCGCAGAGAAACCGTCGCGGGACACAGATGAAACTTTTCCTGATTTGTGTGGGTCGTGCCTTCACCATATTCAAACAGAAAACGTTTGAATTCATCTGCTACCAAAAAAACTAGTATGTTTAAGGAGCTGCATTGTCTGTCAATATTGTGTATATCTCTGAGTGACTGTGTATATCAATCATTAACACACAAACTCACACTAACACACACTCACATAATACTTGTGAACAATCACATAACATGCACTAACACACCCACTAATACACGCTCACTAATACACACATACAATGGCGTAACTACCATGGTTGCTACTGGTGCTGTGCATGAATGGCATGTGGTGGTTTCACGTGGTTGCCTGGTAGTTTAGGGAGACCCAGTGGTGTCTAGTTACACCTCTGGTCACGTCACGTGACATGACCTCCCGGCGCTGAGGTCACGTGACATGCGCGGTGACGCGGGGAGCATGGCTGCATGAAATATAGAGTCGAAGAGGAGCCCTATCTTGCCCTGACTAGGAGAAGACATCGGGAGACGGTGGATGAAATACAAATAAAGCATAGAAAAAGTAAGTGCTGCTGCATATTAAATAAATAAATAAAAACAGTCATTTTAAAAATGTGCTGTTAGCCTTGGCAGTCCTGGGATGCATTGGCAAGTCTGAGGGTCAGATTGGCAAGTCTGAGGGTCAGATTGGCAAGTCTGGGAATGCATTGGCAAGTCTAAGGGTCAGATTGATAAGTCTGGGAATGCATTGGCAAGTCTGAGGGTCAGATTGATAAGTCTGGAAATGCATTGGCAAGTCTGAGGGTCAGATTGATAAGTCTGGGAATGCATTGGCAAGTCTGAGGGTCAGATTGATAAGTCTGGAAATGCATTGGCAAGTCTGAGGGTCAGATTGATAAGTCTGGGAATGCATTGGCAAGGTATAACACTGTGATGCTCACAGGGTTATACCTAATAAATGAAACTGAAAACTGAAATGAAAAAAAATATCTGCTTGTCATTATTTTTCCTAGACTTATTCTTTCAGAGTTAGTTATTACTATAACCAGTAATAATCGAATGCAGAGTCAATTATTTAATATGATAAAGAGTACATACATTTATATAGTCTTACAGATACAACCGGCCCTTTAAGGGCACCCATAATGACGATGCGGCCAAAGATGAAATTGAGTTCGACACCCCTGATTTAAAGGGTGAGTGCTGCGTTGGCAATGGTGCATAACCAATAACAACAACGCACTACGCTAGGTGTCAATAACATCAACACCGCGTGTGGCCTGAAAATACACTATTTTATATATAGTAGGCGACGTTTCGTGCAATGGTCCTACTTCATAGCATAACACATATATGAACGTGTTATCAAGGGCCATTGTCCGAAACATCGTCTGTTATAGATTTTCATTTTTTTTTATTAAGGGAACACCGCTATTCGATTATTCATCACAATTCCTACGCACGGCATCGATGCAGGCATCGATGTATAGTTTGTCTCTCTTTGTTCTGTCTCAATCACCACATTATCCTAAATGTCAAATCAGCTGATCATCGTGATGATCTTAAACAATCGATACTTATGCGCAAAGGAACCAATAATTATCGACGACTAATCTATTCACAAGCCCAGGAGGAGGTACAAGCATTCATTTATCGTATTCTCCAGATTATAAGACGCACTTTTTTTTTACCCAACTGTAATTTAAAGCAACTATTTGGGGTTATATCTTAAAATCCGGTCTGTGTTTATGTGTGAATGTGGCGTGTGTGTGACCAGATATGTACAGTATAATTATACAGATACCGGGCACAGCTTTCTAATGCGTGTTACTTTCTAGAGCGTCTTATTATCCGAAAGTTATACCCAGTATATACCCATCAATTAAGATCTATTCTGAAATTAGACGATAAGAATTAGTTGGTAATCTACTAATAGGGTTTTTCCCATTTTTTCTGGCAACAAAACTGACACCTTTTGCAAGGAATCATATTTACATTAACCACAATACTTGCAGTCAAAATGCAAACAAAAAACAATACTCTTATAATTTACGGATTGTCTTTGAAACTCATTGGTCCACACCAGAGACAGCTTTTCTTAGAGCCTAGTCTCATGCGGTGTTCGACCAGATGATGCCAAAAGGCGCACAGTTCAAAGACAACGCACTATAAGAGTAATGAGAGCTCGGGGTAAGCATCTACATCAAGAGGCCTTTTTTGCCAATACCAAAATATACTAATAGGGGTTTTCCCCTTTTGGCGTTATCTGGTTCGATCGCGACATGTCGCCTGCTCTATATTTGGAGTTTGCATGTCTCTCTCCCCGTGGTCGCGTGGATTTATTTCAGGGTCCTCCGGTTTTTCCTTCCACATTTAGAAACATGCGTTTCGAATATTTTCCAATACATTTACACATGATAAGCCACTTGGTTGAACTATTGTGATAGCCAGGTCGCTTCTGAAAAAGAGCTATACAGCTCAGTGGGCCTTACCTGGTAAAACACAAAAAAATAGATTGTAGTTTTCGTTTATTATCGAATCCCGAATGGGGTGGGTGAGGGTTGCGAATGGTTACTCCGCCACATTGCCTAGCATCCACCGTATTCTCCGCATTATAAGACGCTGGGGGAAGTAAACCGCACCCGAAACGTGTGCCCCGCCATCAAATACAGTTCTAGAAATATGTTTACATGCGCACCAATACGCATGGCTACTACGCAACCACAATGTTTGCTTTACAATAGTGTAACAGTTGGGGGAGGGGGGGAACCTACCAGCGCCTTATAATAGGGAGAATACGGTAAAGCAGGGCCTCCCTACGAGTAGCCTAAGAACGTCTCTTGAGAATGGGTCACGCAAATAGTGCAGTGGATTTCCTGTGAGAGTCACATTAAGCCATGGGATTGTGCGTGGAATATATAAATATATATATACCGCCAGGATTAGTCTTACATCCTGCACTTGTTTGTATTATTTATCTTTAACCAGGAGATGAAATAAAGCAAGCACTGAGACGCATGAATCAGAATGAGAATTTTTATTTACATTGGAGGAGGAATCCGATAAGTTATGAAGCTCTTTTTGAGACATGTCCAGCAGGGATGGGCGGGTCAACGAGCGACATCAACGAACAACGGCATCAGAGCAAGGTAGAGAAAAAAGATAAGGGATTAAAATAAATGGGTGAATAAATACAAAGTACTGAAGTACCAATGTCACAAGGACATAC